GAGCTAAACAGATAGCAGGTAAAGGTCTTTAAGGTGGTGGTAAACCACCTGTGACTAGCTTTTGGGAAAACCCCTGCAAAGCTATATGTAAAGCTATATTAGCAATTCTATACTCCTTGAATAACAATGCCATTAAACTCCACATTGCAATCATCAAAAAAGCCTGAGCAGCAGCTACATTACCTCAAATTTGCGTTCAAAGTTCTCAAACTCCAGCTGTCGAGCAGGAAATCCTTCATCATGAATGGCACCACCTGAAAAACAACAAGGCAATGCTAGTTACTTGATTCAATATTACTTGTTGACAGTTTGTGTTTATGCTGTTTCCAGAGAATGTACATTTTGATCAGCCACATACCTCCTTGAGGCATTCCTTGGTTTTTCTGCATTCTGGTGTTTAATGTCTGGGTAAAACAGAAATATGAAAAGAAAGTGGGAAAATAAATTAATCAATTAAGAGGTGTGTCCTGTATCAAATGTCTCTTTGCATAGCAGTAACAAAAACTTGAAGACTTGTTCAAAGTTATTTGCAATTGGTCCTTATAAACCCTGATATAAAATATCCAGCAGCTTACCTCTTTAGCAGAGACAAAAAAAACTCTGTCTTCTGCTTGTCCTTTGTCTACACACTGGAGCTCATCAACAAGGAAATTAGTACTCATACTGAGATGTTGATTTTTCACCTTAAGGAAACAGGTAAAAAAATTTAAAAAATCACACTTTGTTACCATCATCTGATAGTGGAGGAGGGGGGGAAGAGAAAGGAGGTTGTTGTCCAGGGGGAGGGGGGGAGGAGGGATAAATGGTGTGATGTCCCACCCATCATCATACCTCAATCCTTCTCTTCTATCTAAGCACCCCCTCCCCCCCTCCACTATGAATCTATCAGTACTTTTTTTTCCAGCCACAATTTCCTAAGAAGAGAGCAACTGTGATGAAAGGCAACTCCAATGTTGTGTTTTGTTTCCATTTTTGACATGTTTGATTTCAAATTTAAATGGGTATCAAGGACAAATAATTGCTTACTTACCTGCTCCATCTTATCGGGTTCTAATGCAGATGCGTCCCATCTGTTATATAGAATGAAGATGTTTGGTCTTGAAAGAAGCTGACTCCTTTTGTGAAAAAAGTTTTTCTCCTGCAAATGACAAGGGTACGAAATGAGAAACTATCCCACAAGCATGGGAAGGTTTAATGTATGAATGCTACCACACTGATTGAATAAATTTCTCCTGCAATAAGTCACATTTTAAAGCAACTGAAATTTTAAAAAAATTCAATCAAATTTAAAGTTTGTATGTGATGTATCTTAAATTTACACGTAGCACATGAATGGTCATGAACATACCGCAAACGTAAGTGTTGACTCAGCATTAGCAACCAGGACAAACACATCAGCATCCAAGCAGTACTTATCTATCCACAGATCAAGATCAGGGCTCACATCTATACCAAGACTAAAATAACAGTTGTCTGTGACTATTTATATAGCAATGTTAGGCTTCTTGGTGTGAAAGACACAGAACATGTCACAATAGAGCAATACCTCATGAACCTATTGTTTTCATTGTTTTTTTGTTCTTTTGTCTCTTTGTTCTTCTTTAACCTTCACACCCTAATATTAGTATGCATATTCTCTGTACTGATCTCTATACATTCCCTTAGGAGTAGACAAAGACAATTTGCCAAACAGTTCAGAGCGTCCATAGCTGGTGATCATTTCTTTTATTCTTGGGATCTTAATGTGTTATTCAGAGGTGAAATTGTAAGGAGAATTTTAATTCTTGGGGCTCAAAAGTTTAATTATACAGTGCCTTTCATCACATTTATTTTGCTTACCTATCCACCAAAACAACATCCTCTGATAAAATTTTACATCTGAGGTTAAAAAAAATACATTTTTAACAAAAATGAAACCATCACAAGTGATAATAATGTACAGGTAAAACTCTCTTGTAATGATACAAACCCCCTGATCTAATGTGAAAGCATTATCTAGAACATGTGAACTGTGTTTGGAAAGTTTTTGTATCTTTTAAAGACACAAGAGGCAGCCTATCCAAGAGCTTTTCAACACTACAAGTACATTTCCTTTGTTTATAAGACACTCATTGAAAAAACCAATGACACAGCTTTAAACTTTACTGTAGAGTATTGAACAATTACTGAAGGAAGTTGAGCATGATAACTTGAATTATAAATACTGAGTTCTAAGTTATCTGCTGAAATCGTAGAGGCAGATTACAAAGACACCATGCTTAATGGTTCATGATATCATGTAAAAACTGAATTTGGTAATTGTTTTAATTGCACATTTTTTAAAAACAATCTGGAAAAGAAGACACATCTCTATGGGTTTACAAAAGTTTGAGAACACTTCATGGGGTAAGGGCTTGGAAACTAGGCAGACATTGAACTCCAAGTGACAAATGCAATGTCTGCTACAGATATTGGGTTATCTTGTCAACTTCTTCTGCTTTTGTATATTGATTGAATGCTCTTGACCAATCAGATATTTTATAATACATAAGTAATACATAATAACAGAATTTATTTAAAGCCAAAAAATATTGACTAACTTAACCTCTTTGAAATAACTCTGGGCAAGAACAATTCATGTACAGCAAAGGGCACAACATTCTACTTTTATAAAGTTTGCAAGGTTGAACAGCAAGTGCACTTTGATTGACAGGACAACAGTTACCTGTGAGTACATGTGAATGATATAATAATTACAAAACATAATCAAACCTGGACTTTGGCCAGAACACTTGAACAAGACTGCTGGGATCAAGCTCTTCTTCCCACAAGGCATTAGCAAGTTCATCTAACGACTGTTTCAATGACAATAAGGAAAATGTGTAATTATCATGATTATTAACTAATCATTTTGACTTGTATAACACATATATCAAATGGAGTATTATTTAATGTATTTCATAAGTATTTTTCTGCTTTAAGATAATTTAAGCATCAGTGATATTTTCTAAATTAAATGTCAAACCGAAATTAATTGTTAAAAACCATATAAGCACCAGACTGGGTGACAGTTTGACAGAGAAAATTTATTTTTTCTTAACCAAATACCTGTCAGTCTTGCAGTATGGGTATTTTGAAAAGATGATACACCCATCCCAGATTAATACACCATCCTAATACTTATAAACACCAGGTTCACCAGACCATGTTTGAAATAAATGCACTGGTTGCTCAATCAAGAAAATGTGGTACATATAATTATTACAAAGGAGAAACTTACAATACTTTTTAAGAAGACATACCTTCACATTCTTTTTTTCAATACTCCCTGGAACCGAGATATATGGATCTGGTAAAACTGAACCATATACACTGTAAAAACAATTTATAGTATGGCCTATTCCCATTGGTAAGATCTTATCTTGTAGCATGGCATTTATTGTGGTGCTCTTTCCATTGCTGGTTCGTCCAAAGAATACCACCTTAATCTGATCCCTTGCTATTAAATTTAAGTTGCTTGAAACCTGAGCCCGAAAGCCTGACATCTGTGTGAGAGAAATGCAATAATCAGTACTGACTTAATAAGAATTAATTACATTAAAAAATTGAAAGTGACAGTGCAGGGTAGCTTTGAAGGAATAGCGAGATAAATTAAAAAAAACATTGAAAACAACCAAAAGGTTGTATGATCTACACCAGTTTAACAATATCAATTCTCGTCAATATCATGGAGCTTGAGCGCGACATTCGACAATATTACCTTGCTTGAGAATTTCTCGATGTCTCGTTCACTTTCATCAGCTATTCTGGAATCAGCTAAGAATTTGTCACAGTCTTCAATACAGCTCATGAGGCCTAAGAACATATCTGTTATATTCAACTTCACTTCTTTGAAATTGTACTTAGGGTACTCTGTATCCACTCCGCCATCTTGTAAAGATTTAGCTCGCTTAGACTGACACGATGAATTCGTCATTTTGACCAGAAATAGTCCATTTTACAGTTGTATGCTTGGTTGCCAAGCCTTTGAACAGGAGTGAGGCTAAGGGTGACCTTGTTATGATACAAACCTTGCTGCTTTTGAAATGCAAATTAATTTGTTATCATGCTAACTAGATTCTGGTCTCTAACACAACAAGGTCACCTTCAGCCTCACTCCAAATCAAAGGCTTGGCAACTAAGTACACAACTGTAAAATGGCCTATTGTCTTGAACAGTCTGCAGGAAACAGGGAGGCTCAACCATTACGCATGCGCTTTCGGCCTTGATTTCAATAGAATCAATGGGAATAAAATGTGGACAATCCGCATCCCGACGTTTCTACAACATGATTGGGGGATGAAGAAAAGACCGAAATACGGGTGGTCAGCGGGGAAACAAAATAGTTCATATAAGAGACATATCAGTTATAGTTGCGGAAAACAATAGTGTTGTAAAGCCGAACTATCAACAGTATACTTCGCTAAATAAATTGTTAAGCAATTTTTCAAAAGTGTTGATGGCACATATATCTTTTACTGCTGTAATAAACAATGGAGGCATCGGAAAAGGCATCGGTGGCATCTGGAAATGCACCAAGAAGAATTATATTTACGTTTTGTAACTTGCTGCGTGACGAAAAAAGGCTTATCCTCGGTGTAAAAACCTCACAACTGACGTCACGAAACGATCTGCGTCAGTCAGTGGTAAATCAATGGATCATTAGATCAATGGATCAGTAGATCGATGGAACTGTAAATCGATGGAACAGTAGATCGATGGATCGGTAGATCGATGGAACAGTAGATCGATGGATCGGTAGATCGATGGATCGGTAGATCAATGGATCAGTAGATCGATGGATCGGTAGATCGATGGATCGGTAGATCGATGGATCGGTAGATCAGTGGATCAGTAGATCGATGGATCGGTAGATCAGTGGACGGGTAGAAATACTGGAGGAAATCAGCCTGGGGAAGAGGTCTCTCCGTTAGTCCTGGTAAAGAGTTCCGGTAGAAAACATGGCGGTCACGATCAAGGCATTTTATGTCAATTGAGAGCTGGTTTTCAGCCGCCATTTCTGTTATTTCACAAGATAGGAGTCACAAGAGAGTTGTTCCAGTTTTTCACCTCGCACATAAGCGCGGGGATGACAATTTCCGATGTCCAAGTCCTTTGGCATCAAAGTCTGTTTGACGAGTATGGTGTACGAAAGATGAGTTTCCTCACGGAGAAGAACGAAAGCCCAGAAGCATTTCCAAGTTTTTCACCGAAAGGCATCAAGGTTGGAGAAAAAGTTTCAACATGCTGTTATATTATGGGATACTTTGAAAAAGAACATCTGTACCACAAAAGAATGTGTCAGATGAGAGCTTCTTCATTAAGTGCTGATCATACATTTAAAGTGTCTGCAAATATTGGCTTTTGGTGTGAGGGAAAGTGGATACAGCTGTATGACAGTTTATTCATAGTTATGAACGAAATTGGCATAGTTTTAGCCTGGAAACTTTGCAAGGGAACAGCTTTCGATAAAGTTAAAGATCTGTTGACCAGTTTAAAAGACAGACTTGCCTCTAAAGGTTGTGTTGTTAACCATTTCTATATTGACAACTGTTACAAGTGGAGGCATAAACTGAATTCTGTTTTTGATGAGGTGTCTATAAAGCTTGATCCTTTTCATGCAATACAGAGAGTAGTGACAAAAATACCAAAGAAGGGTGGCAGTGGGCCACTTCAAAAGCTGCGCACACAAATGCTGCATGACTTTAAATTGATTCTGAGGGACCCAACAGACCATGGAATGAAAAGATCAAAGTCAACTCCATCAGTGAGTATTATTGAGAAAAACATTGATAACTTTCTTATACAGTGGAAATCTGTAGAATATGAAGGAACAAAGGTTATCCCCCAGAGTGCTATTAATGAAATTGAAAAATTATTAGTTCATGTCCGAAAGGGTTGTTTGTCAGATATTCCACCTTCTGGAGGTACCAGTCGGAATGAAGGAATTCATAAAGTTCTTAACAAAACTCTGAGGAAGTCAAGAATTGGAATCCAATTTGCATTAGCACTTCTTGGCATTTTCTTTTATATATGGAATGAGAAGAAAATAACAGCAACTGAAGACCAAAGAAGAATAAGGGTGACTCCACCAATTAAATCACATTTTGAACATTTGGAAAGAAATCAAGATGGATCTGGTAATCATCATTTTGGAATAACTGATCAAGATGTGGTCCTACCAAAAACTGGAGACTTTGGCTTATCTTCATATTGTAGTAACCATGGAGAAATGGTTAAATGGTGAAATGGTGGATCATAAATGGTTTTATTGTAGTAACCATGGAGAAATTGTGGAACAATTAAATAACTTTTTAGATGGCATGTCATCAAACATATCCTCAGATGAAGATGAACCCAGTGTTTCTGAAACTATCTCACCACCACCCTTTCCCAATTTGAGCAAACAGCAGCAGCATAAAGTTATAAAGTCAGCAAAGTGTATGGCAGAGCTTTGTGAACAAATTCAGTCACTTGGCCAGTATGCAAGATTTAATCCAAACTATTTGTTCTTTACAAAAAGTAGCTTGACACTCTTCCACTCTGGTTTAGTTAGCAACAAAGAGTCTTCCTCACTTGATAATGTTCTATCAAATTTCAACATGGTCCGTGTTAATGTTCCACCAAATGGTAACTGTTTCTTCCTGGCTATTGCATATGCAATAGTCAATCGCATTATTCCAAATAAAGCAATATCAAATGATTTAGTCAGCCATCTGGAGTCACTTAGACTGATGAACTGCAAAGACACAAATGAAATGAGCCATAAGCTGCGAGAATTAATAGTACATGAGTGGATCTCTCACCCAGAGGATTACCAGCCCTTCCTTGGTGTTGGACAATTGTTAGACCATGAAGCATCTTTATTTCTTAATGATGGTCATTTCGCATCAGAGTTAGGCAATTGCATGGCACTTGCAATGGCAAATTTACTCAATCTTCCAATTGTAGTAATCACACAAATGGAAAATATGTCAGTTGTCCCAGTTACTCCAAGGGAAACTCTTCAGTGCCTACCAATCTTTGTCGCATTTGATCATGCAGGTGTGGGTCACTATGATGCTGTAGCACACAGTACAAGCCATTCAGTGGTCAATGAAACACAATCATGTTCAGTCAGCAGCATAGCTACCAATCCTGAATCTTGTCGTTGTGGTCAAGGCACAAGAAAAAAAGAATCCAATATCACCTCTTGTGATCACTTCAAAAAAAGGTGCAAGTGTTTTCAAAGTGTGAAAGGTTGTAATGACTACTGCCAGTGTCTTGGGTGTGAAAACCCATATGGAAAAAAGGCAAAAGCAGAATACAATAGTTATCTATCCGAAACAAGTAAAAGAAAACAATGAGCACAGGAAATGACAACAGAGAGTATGTCTGGAAAACACTTTCTGCTTAAAAGACCCTGCTTGGAGAGTGTTAGCAGATGGACAGTTCTTGAAGAGCTAGCCCTTATCCAGATTGTACAGTCCTCATTAACTGCAGCTGGCAGTGATATTGATATTGATGTCATTGCAATGCAATACTCGCAGCTGGTTGATAACTCTAGAATTCATCCCAAGTCTCAAGCTAAAGTTTCTGGAAAGGTAATTTCTTTTATGAATGACGATAGAGTTTATAAGGCCTTGTTAAAGGAGCAAGTGAGGTTGAATTGGTTCTGTTAGTTTGGTGCACAGTAAGATTCATTAAGTATGACATTCCGGAAAACTTATCAATTTCCAGTACATTGAAAAATGCTTATCTGATTGCATGCATGTATATTTCCAAATCTAAGAACTGTAATCAGGAAATTAGACATGTGTGTAGATGTGTAGTTCCAGAAGATATTTTTTAGTTTGGCATTGTACACCACTCAGGAAATTCCACTTCAACTTTATACTTTTCTTCTAAGATTTCCCCCACCCCCTTTCCACACCCACACCTCCCAGGAAATTCCACACTGTCTGTGGATAGAGTATTGCTACATGTATCTACTGGAACAACAAAGACAGGAAAGGAAAGGGGGAGAGGGAGAAAAGGGAGGGGAATGTCTGCTATAACAACGCCAGTTTTTATTCTGCCCATCAATTTTACCCTAATCCTGTTATGTCTTCTACCAAGATCAGCACTAATCAGAATATTCAAATAGTGAAAAGGATAGGTGCAAGAATGCAGCTTGATACTAGTTAATGTGTTACTAATTGTTGGTTTGGGGAATCAGTATTTTGCAGCTGCTAGTGGCTGCAGAAATGAAGAAAAGGGGTTTCTTATAGCAGATGCTCACCCTCTTTGCCAGTCTCCCTCTTTTACCCCTCATTACGCCTACTAAGCAGCCTACAGAATCTGTGTAGCACAGAAAGTCTGCAAGACTGAAACAAACTCAACGTCCAAGCCTATTTGTAATTAAATTTGGATAAGATGTGGCATCTGTAACTGATCTAAAGTCTTGTGGATTTGGAATGCCAAGATTTAAACCAGTTGCATTTCTGATATGCCAATATGAACATGCTCATAAAACATGGGGGGGGGGGGGGAGGAAGTGCAAACTGTTTATTATAAAATAATTTGCATCTCATCAACCATGCCAATCAGACCGAATCACAGTCATTATCCCATGCTGGTTGTTATAATTGAATGTGTATGGGGTGATTAAATATTACTGCAACTACCCATCAAATCCTGCTTTCAGGTAGTCAATAAGTTCTGTATATAAAAATCACATTTGTTTTGTTTTGCCTGGTTTTGTCCAGGGTTTTAGATAACATGAGGAATAGTTTACGTGCCTCTTTGTGAAGAACAAAACATTAGCAGAGGATACTTACATATTCACTGAAGACTAAGTAAACCTGGTTACAATTTGTTTTGCTATGATATCTTTATTTTTGTTTCTCCCATCTGCTTAACTGTAACAAAGGTTTTTTTACAACATCAATTGAATAACAATTTATTATAAATAAATATTGTATTCAATCATGACATGTCTCTCATGACAATAAGTCTAGTAACATCCTCTATTTGTTAACATTAAAATTATTTTGGAAAATTGCTGTATTTTACTAGATGTAATTTCAAAAACATGTGCAGAAGAATAAGAGTAGGTGAGGATTTCAAAATTCTTTTATTGGCATTATTTTAATAAAAATTATTTCAAGCTTTGGGGGTATAATGTTATTGAATTATCATTAATATTTGAAACGTTGCTTTTATGGATATTATACACTTGTGGCACAAACTATGAAAAAAATAACCTTGTAAACCTTCCGAATACAGCCAAGTTAATATTTTTTTGTTATCATGCAATCAAACCATGTTCTTCTGCTAATAATTTCTGAAATGCTTAATACCAAAGTATAATTTTTTATCTTAAAGCCCATAATAATCAATAGCTTAAAACTGGAGCACAACTTATAGCAAACATTTTAATCATCATGACATACTTGAGGCATACTTAATGCTGGCCAATAAACGATCGCTGTACTATAAATGACTAATGCAATAACTGTAAAAACCCATTCAAGCCCGGGTATTGTGGCCCTGTCGCAAATCAACTGAAACTGAAACTGACTTTTACCTAATCATCATTTGGAGAAACTACACTAATTTTCCCAAGTAGCAGTGCTATTCAACTCTGTTGTCCTTTTCAACATTTGGTAGGTTGACTAGCAGTCTACTCTGGGTAGGGGGTAGGATAGGGGGCTAACATTTGCACTAAAGGGATACAGTCTGACTAGAAGAATTATTCATCTAAAATTGGAGCCCCTTCTTGTTGGAGGTATGCCCTCAGTTCGTTTTCCTGTGGGTGATTTTCGAGCATCTTATCCCTCTGGGAGGAGGGAAGAAGGTCATCCTTCTTCAAAAAATTTGCTTTATAATCTTCAAGGGACAAGTTAAGAGCACCAAGGTGATGTTCAGAATTAGCAAGGGTTAATGGTAGCGCTTTAAAGAAGAACGTAGACTTCTGTACCTTCTTGAAACTACCAAGAGATTCATTGGTCAGTTCTTGAAAACACTGTTCTGTGACTTGAGGGCTGGGTCGCGAACTTGAAGAAAAACTGTTGTAGACGCGTTTTGCACTGCAAAACGGCCCAGCTAAGCATAGTATTTTCTTCTTTATGTCTTCTTTCGAGACGTCCAGACGTATTGCTGAAGCCCCTTGTTTCAACTGCAAACACTGTCATAAAAGAAAACAAAACGGAAAAATTTTGGAGCTCGTAATTAACAAAATTAAATTATGTAAAATTACCTAAAATAGCGTGACCTAGCCCCTTCAATCGAACATTCGAAAATCGAACCAAATCGAACTCAATCCGTGGATTTTGTCCAAGGATTCAAAAGTTACGGTGGAAAATCTTCTCGTCATAACTTGGTCTAGGAATGAAAACTGCAGACTTTGAAACATGATCTTCGCCTTCCTTTACGTTAAAGCTGAAATGCTGGGGAGTCTTTTACTACGTATTCAAGGCTAAGCGACAGTGCATCTGAATGCATTCCTGAATTTCTGCGTGTACTAAAAACATGTGCTACAATCCCGGGTATACAGAATTAATTGGAGCCTCCAAGAACTTGATTTTGAAAACCAATTTTACCAAAGATTAAGAGTTCAGAAATAATGCAACGTCCGATTGAGTTCGATAAATAAAAAAGAAATGAACACTTACTGCTTCAGCAACTCCTCCGAAAGCGAGAAGGGTGTCGTGCAGAGTCAAGGCCATGTTCATGGTGCTTTCGCTGATTGTCGTTGGGGTTGGTCCAGCAAGTTGATTTAAGGCCTTGTCAAGACGATGCCATAGCACGTGAAGATTTAGGGCCAACCTGAGGGCGTTTTTCCCTGTTTTGGCGTTGCACTCAGGATCAAACGCACCGACTGAAGATGGCATATTGGTCTTCCCCTCGCAGTATTTTATGTACAGCTCGCGGGCGGTTGCAGTTAATGTGTATTCGACAGGGTTTTCCTGGTGGGGCTCTCCAAATGCGAAATTAACGGTTCCACGTATCCAATGTTGCAGGCGGGGGTTTTTCCAGCTCCGGATGGAGCCAGGCCTAACATAAACAGATTTCCCTTCTCTTGAAAGGAATCAAACAGCTTTACTGTGGTGTTGCCAATTAATGCACTAGTGCATGGCAATATTCCAGCCAAGAGTAGCTCCGGTGAGGTACCGTGGCTTTTCGAGTATACTTTCAGCCATTCGTGGATGTGGGCCGGAGCAATTTCGTCCCATGGAATGTGGATTTCGGCAAGCTTTCTCTCAAGATCGCTTACTGAATTTACCTCTCCAAGTCCTCCAACAGCAGCCATTGTGCGCGAAATGAAAGACGCTCTCAGGGAAAACTCCAAACAAAATACACGTGGGAATCTCACCTTTTGATTGGTTCGTGTGATGTTTTTGTCACGTTAAGCTGACACAATACCTTCGCGGGTCCTTCGAAAAAAAAATCGTACGCGTGTTGTTTCGAAGTTAACTACCACAAACTATATATCAATAGAGAGGTTATGAACTGCAGATTTCGAAAAAAAATATCCACTATGTATGCAGAGCCTTCTTTAAGAAGTTAGAAGCCAGTAAACAGAAAACGATCGATTGACATTCCGCTGAATTAATCAGGTATCAAACACCATCGCTTCTTCAAAAGTACTGCACAGTATCAATCAGCAAGGATCAGTCTCTAAATGTGTGTCAGGATTTCTCTGGTTTCTCATTGGTTATCTTTTTATAGACACGCAAAGTTTTTGTAGCGGATAATTTGCCGACCCTGTGGCGTTTGCGGCCGTAAAATGAGAAATATCTAAATTAAAGCTAATCCCCGACACGCTTTTATTGTTTGATGTTTAATGAATTTTCAGGCCAAATTTCATTAAAATCTGTCGATTCTACATATGTCACGCCTTTACCTGAGATGTATGTCAACATGACATGCCACCAGCCAAGCAATTCCAATGGTGTGACAGTCACGTTCTCCTAATTATAAAGTTCACCTGGCGATCGCAATGGGAAAATAAGCAGACGAAAAATACGGTTGAGTTTCATTATATGTGTTTTCTTCGAGTTGCACGTTTGAAGGTTGATCAAACCAAACAACACCCAAGACACTGTCGAACTAGCTTTCCCTTTTGCGTTCATTTTTTCGCTGCGCAAGGACTTTTCTCTATTCTTTAGAACTCGTTTCATGATCTCAGTGTAGTCAACTTTAAGTAAAGACAATTGAAGAGCCACGTAGCGAAATCGCATGTAACCAAAAGAAATGCTTATGAGTTCTCGGAATAAGAGCTCCCTGCACGAGGGCATTTCGCACGGAAAGTTCGCCCGGGAGTCAAGGCACTGTGAGGAATATGGCACCTATCCATATTTTATTAACTTTTATATAAAAATTTTATATAAAACCCCTTTTTTTCGAAATATCTCGTGCGCGTTTTAAGATTTTGCTTTCCTTTTTTGGTAATGTTAGATTTTCAGTTTCAGTGGGGAGACAAATTTTCGACAAAAAGTAGCCCTCTGAAGATATAGTGTACCCTACTGATCACTGATCTACTGATCTAGCGATCCATCGATCTACTGATCCATTGATCCATCGATCTACTGATCCACTGATCCATCGATCCATCGATCTGCCGATCCATCGATCTACCGATCCATCGATCTACCGATCCATCGATCTACCGATCCATCTACTGATCCATCGATCTACCGATCCATCGACCTACTGATCCATCGATCTACCGATCTAGCGATCCATCGATCTAGTGATCCATTGATCTAGTGATCCATACTGATCTTCCGTCGATCCATTGAACTACTGATCCATCGATCCATTGATCTACTGATCCATTCATTAGCGATCAAGCCCTGGCTGTCATAGATGCTGTGACGTCAGTTGTGAGGTTTTTACACCGAGGATAATCCCGAAAAAAGGTAACGGTAATTACCGTTTTTATGGTTTCAGCTTCATAGAAGCTAAACCGTATTGTCAGCGTGTTGTAAGTAAGTGAGTGAGTACGTAATTCGGAAAGCCGAAGTAATGCCGATGGGACGCGGACTCCTCAGTCGATGGTTTATTGACATGTCCGAAGTATTGGACATGTCAATTGGTAGAGCGCTGCACCGGTATCGCAGAGGTCATGGGTTCAAATCCCGTACGGGCCTGAAATTTTTTTCAGGTCCTACTTACAACTACTAGTTTCAGTAGTGTTCTTAGCTGCGAGGATCTTCTAATTTCATCTTTCCACCGCAGTGCAAATATGTGAATTTTCACGTGAGTAGTCCAGTGGTCAGTGTGCTGGACTCTGGGTCCGACGGCCCGGGTTCAAGTCCTGGCTGGGGCATGACGTTGTGTCCTTAAGCAAGACGCTTCACTCACATTGCTTCGTCTTCTCGGATAGGACCTTAGGCCCCGTCTCCTGCAGGGTTGGGGTAGGAGACGTTAATTTCCCACGCACGAGATTACTGTGTGGTGGATGTCCTCCCCTGGGGTGGGATGGGTGGAAGAGACACTTGTGAATGAATTGAATGAATGTAAACGAATTGTAAAGCGCTATTGAATAGCAATAGAAATAGCGCTATATAAATACTGTATTAGATTGAAATTATTAGATATTAGGTTAACAGTCAAAAGACATACCTTAATTCAAGCGATAGTACAAATAAATGCAAAAGAAAGAGCAATGATACTGTGTCAAGGCCTAAAAATTCTAGAATGCCAGAAAATATTAACAGAGTTGAAGACCTTGGCAATATTCATGATTCTGTATATGAAAATATGTTCCATGAACAGGCCTCGACAACTAAAACCAAAAAGCGCAAAACAAGAGAACAAAATGCTATTTATACGAGAGAATACAGAGCTTCAATAGCATCTACTGAAGAAAATGAAAAGCAAAGTGCATACAGAAAACAGTATAGATCATCTAATCCAGAAAACAAGAGAAAGCACAGTGAGTATATGAAGCAGTATAGATCATCTAATCCAGAAAATAAGAGAAAGCATAGTGAGTATATGAAGCAGTACAGAGCATCTGATCCTGAAAATAAGAGAAAGAACAATGAGTACATGAAGCAGTATAGAACAACTACTGCATTGGCTAAACAGAAGGCTAAAAATAACGCTTACATGAAAAGTTACAGAGCTACCTCAACTAAAAATATTCAGTATTTTATCTCACAGTTTCATGAAGTGGTCTCTCAAGGTCCAGTGTACATATGTACTTGCTGTGATCAGTTATGGTATAGACATAGTGTATTAAGTGCAGAAAAACTCAAATGCTCCAATCCTGATATTGTCAAGTATCTTTGCAATAAAGTGAGTGTCAATGACATTGAATGGGTTTGTAGAACATGCTATGATTACCTAGTTAAAAACAGAATACCGCCATGTGCTGTTGTAAATGGTATGCAATTTCCAGAAAAGCCAGCATTCTTAGATCTAAATGAGTTAGAGTGGAGGTTGTTAGCCCCAAGAATTGCTTTTCAAAAGCTAATGCAAGCTCCTAGGGGAAAGCAGTTTAAATTACAAGGAAATGTTGTCAATGT